GACTAGAAAGAGAGAAGACGCGGCGTCGTTCAATACTATCAGGAATATATTCATAAGTCAGCCCAGAACAGCGCATAGCAAGTTCGCGCGTAAAACTATTCTGGACACTTTCCAGTAGGCGTATATCCTTTTTCTTGTATGGACTAAAAACTGTAGCACCAGATTCAAGGATTGGCCTGGCATAAGTCTTATAAGCTCTCACGAGAATCCGAGAGTCTTTTGAGTGGAGGGCTCTGAAAAGACTATAAACTCTGTGCATGGCCTTGGATATGATATCTTTATAGTGGTATCAAATCCGAGCTTACTGTCGAATTTGAAGCCGAGATCACGAACATTGGAAACACATTTGAGCTCTGTGGTCCCTAATCGGTATTTCCATTCCAACCATTGCGGAGTTGTCGGGGCTACAGGAAGTCAGGATTTTCCAGATCCCAAGCGACGATGCCCAGGAATCTGTCCGTGAGCGACTCGATTAAGAAAGTTGCCTATCTGCTTGTTGCCTACCGATATCCCATAAGTCGTCTTGAGCGCGTCAGCAATGGCAGACGGCTTCATTTTTTGATGCCGATATTGGAACCACACGAGTTCCTGCTCCCTTTCATCAAGCAACATTCTTAGTACAATTACAACAGTACAATTCACCCAATCACTCTCTTCTGCTGCTTCAATCGGTGCGACGTATTCCGCCCAGGATTAGGCCCCATGCATAGTGTCTCTTTTTTTGGGCACCTCTGTATATGACCTGTCAATATCTCAGGTCATGACACTCCTTGGGGAATGCCGGTCATACAACATATTCAAGTGGTCGGGCGAGTATCACCAGCAAATTAGAGGACTGCGATGGGGCAAAGGCTTGCTTCAGTACTCGCAGTGGTATCATGTCGAAAATTGAGCAACCTGTTATAGAGCGTGGACCCATTTTATGCTGTCGGCATATAGACGATTGCTTTATTTTGGGCTCCACTCAAGTGGAGGTGGACATCTGTTTCGAATTGCTTAACAAACAATCGAAACATATAAAGCTTACACGGAGAAACCGAAACGATTGGCTCGCTACCCTCTGTCCAGGTTCGAGTAACTGCGGGCATTCCGCCTATAAAGCATGAAGGTGCAGCAAAGTGATCCTCCTAGGTTCCTCAATCAGTGGGTGATGGTACTAGTGCTGAAGTGTGTAGGGCTATGCTCAGCTGGTATATCATATCTCAACACATCGCTGTTACCAAACTTGCTATGTGTGAAAGTATACATGACGCGGACCAATTATTTTGCCGTATTTGTATGCGCCCTGTAGGCGAAAAAGCATCCTACTGGAAAATTCTTCTTTCGAGCCAAGCTTTCGTTTTG